GTTATGTATTTTTTAAATAAAAAAAAATTTTGAATTTACTTACTTGTAGCCAGAGTTAGAGGCGGTCGGATACTTATGACCGCTACTGTATATTGATAGCTATTATGAGGTATGGTTTAATAATTAACTTTCATGTGTTCTCAGTTGTAATTCTATTTAGATTTTTTTTAACCTTTTTGATTTCTTTTAGTAATTTTATGAAAGTGCGGCGGCTGAAAGTAAACAAGCCGTATTAAAATATAAAGCAATTCAAATATCAATTTATAAGGATTTACAGCATCACTTTGATTTTTGGTATCCACTTCCAGAATTTGTTCCTTTTAAAAAACGTGTTAAAAGTTTTAAAAATGTCATTCATCAAGATAAATATATATCAGAATTTTGTTAAGGATCTAGAATATGATCAGATCAATATTCAATTTGGCATTTTTTTTGTAATACGTATTAGTATTTTGCCACGTCATTACGAATATGTAATTATTTATTTAAAAAATAAAAAAATTGGTATTAATATTTATTTCACTTGCAAAATTTGAACATTGAATTCGAGACGGAAAATGTTTAATATAACAAAAAGCAAAAAAAAAAGCAGTATGACTAAAAAATTCAAAATAATAAATAAAACTATGAAACGTTCACGTCTTTTAGATGAGGTTGAAACCAGCCGAAAATTCTTTAACCGGTTAATAACGGTTAAAATATTCGTTAACAGGTTAATTAACCGGTTAAAATTAACTTTGGCCAGTACTACAAATTTGGCCAGAGTTAGACAATAATTTGCAATCATAAAAATCTTAATTCTGGCCGGAAAATGAATTTCGGCCGGATTTAAATTCATCTATTTTAACCGGTTAAAAATTAACCAGTTCCAACCTCTATTTTAGACAGGAATTCTAATAAATAATTTCGAAGGAACTGTCAAACGTTAAGATTTTCTTATTCCATTATTATTATTATTATTATTATTATTGAATTGCTTCATGGCACAGTGAATGAATGATTTATTTTTTACAATTTGTGCTTTTTAGGTTCCTTTAAATTAGTTCGGATTCAAAAATTTTTGGGCAGCGAGGTATGGTGGCAGTGGGGAATATGTCTCAGGTCTCACTAATTAGCATAATAAAAGAACTGGCTGGTGGAAAGTTGCTTAACTTTATTTTGAAAGATTTTTTGAGTTTCTAAAATAATTTTAACGATCATACTAACAAATAATTTTTTTTTTAAAATTTTTAGGGTATCATTGAATTGGGTATTTTATACATATCTAATACTTACGCGGTTCGGAAACTGCGCCCCGATACCGAAAAATACAGCCTAAAAATTTTTCAGTAGTACCTTATTTGTCACATGATTAAATTCTTAATACCATAATGCCGGCCAAATTACACCGCTGTAGACGAGCCCTTAAATTGGAATTCACGATTTTCTTTTGTATTTCTTTATTTGAGTAATTCAATAGATAGCCTAAATTGGAATTATCGTTAATATTAAAATTGATAAGCTAACTGGAATGTTTGTATTACATACATTTTTGTGCTCCATTTTTTTTGGTAGATAGAAAACCGGTACGGTACGATTCGCCAGACCAGTACGGTATGGTACGATGTCAAATTTCGTATTTTTGTATTTTTTCTTTTTTTTTTTATTTAATGTATTTTTTATATTTTTTAATTTTTTTTTTATTTAAATTCCTTCCCAGTATATATATATTTTTAATTGATTTTTTTTCTTTTTTTTCTTTATTTTATATTTTATTATATTCTTTTTAAATTCCCCCCAGACTTTTTATTTTATTTTTAATCTTTTATTTTTTCTTTTTTGTTTAGTTTCGTTTAGTTTCCTTTTTTTTTTATTCTTTTTTTATTTTTATTTAATTTTTTTTTTTTACTTTGTGATTTTCCTTGGAGTTTCGCAAGTAATTTGCGATTTTATTTTTTTATTTTACTTTTTTTTTCTTTCATTTCGTTGTATTTTTTTTAAGTTTTTTTGTATTTTCTATTTTTTTTTTTATTTTGTTTATTTGTTTTTTTCTTTTTCGTTTAGTTTATTCTTTTTTTATTTTATTTTATTTTGTATTTCATTTGTTCGTTTTTTTTATAATTTTTCTTTTACTTTTTTCTTTCTTTTCTTATTAATTTTTATTTTTTATTCCATTTCTATACTTTCGTTTTCATTTCATTTATTTGATTTTTTCATTATTTTTTGCAATTCTATACTTTCGTTTTCATATTATTTATTTGATTTTTTCAATTTATTTTTCAATTCGTTTCTTTTTTACTTTTTTTTTTTTATTTTAGATTTTTTTTCTTTTTCGTTATTTTCAAAAAATAAAATAAAAAGAATAAAAAAATGAAAATAAAAATAAAAATAAGATTTGGCATTTAATTCATTATATCAAAATTCGTTGTATTTATAAAATAAGTAATAAATAAAAATAAATTTTACAAAATTTCATTGCGTACCGTACTGGTCTGGCGAATCGTACCGTACCGGTTTTCCATATACCCCCCCGGTCGGTCAACTGGTCAGTTAAAATCGGTCAGAGGCCTTTGACCGACCGTTGACCGACCACGACCGACCGTTACCATCCCTAATAAAGTTACCTATTATAAAATTAATGCATTAATTTTTACACAATATGACTTGGACCATTATAGTCCATAATAATAATGGTATGAATCCATTTTCTACAGTCTAATGATGCTGCCCGAAATGCAGAAAATTAGTTAAACTGATGTTTAAAAAAGTCAAGTTGTAAACCTATACGAAATTAGAAAACTACATTCAAAACCCGAAAATTGGTTAAAACAGATTTTTACAAGCAGACATTTATGTATTATAATATCTAGTAACTGAATATTTATCAGCTTTTTATTATTAATAATTAGAATTTAAAAAGTAAAAAATATAATTTATAAACTCACCTTTGGTTAATAGCTATTATATGATAAATAGTTTAGGCATTAATTTACAACAAAAATCTTAAAAATCATAAGGCCGTGCAACTTCAAATTTTCGGTTCACGTCATCCGACCGGGTCAATTTTAACAAAAAAAAAATTTATATATAAAAAGTTTATCATGTGACTTATAAAGTGTAATTTTATTGGAAGATTAAAGCTTTGTTGTATTATCGTTATGTATAAATGTTTCCCAAGCAATACATTGTGCTGAAATTTTTTCTCAAACTAATGTTTTTGATGGGTTAAACTTTTTATTTCGCCGTGGCTTTCTTTTAAACAAAATCTGATATGCCAATTATATTAGGGTATTCAAAATTGGTTGATGCAGATTTTCAAATTTCAAGAAATATGATTGGCTGAAATTTTTATCGTCAAGGTGTAGTTTAACGGCCTACAAAATGTTTACTTAACCAAATTTGAAAACACGATTTTATAAAAATACCAAAATATACATCGATTTTATTCAATTTCGCGCACTAAAAAAAAATAATAATTGGTTAACACAAAGTGCATCAAATTTTGCATCAACCAATTTTTGAATACCCCTATTATGTAAAGGTCACCAATCAGATAGCATAATATTTATATATAAACTTTTTTTATAAAAAATAATCATTAATAAACTCCGGGTCTCCGGGTCGATTTTTAAATTTCAAAGTTACGTGAACCGAAAAATCAAATTTGCATGGCCTAAATTATAGATATTTTTTCAATTAAAGCTGATATAGAGAACAACAATTCTCGTCCAATATTATGAGTTTCAAAATTAGATAATCTTTAGATTGATATGTTTAAATTTTTTAAGCAAAAAATTTTTTTTATTTATTTAAGAACTAAAATATTAACGTCAAACATGTTGCTCATAAATTAATTTATATTCATTTTTAATAAGATTATTATTATAAAAAAAAAAATCTGCGATTAAATGAAAATTTTTAAAATCACAAATATTCGAATTATCACGTGTACATGAGATCATGCAGAAACATTTAATCTATCGGACACTATGAGGGAGTATTTTCAGGCGTTTAAAAATAAAGAGTTCTTTCGGAAATTATTGGATTACAATGTAAGTGAGTGATGAGGAAATTTTATAACTTAATACAACTGCATATATTATTTTCACTAACAAATTACAATAACATTATAAAGACTTATCATCGTCCGGACGCTTACAAAATTTTAATAAACATTTATTATTTCATTGTTTTCTACTTAAATCATACAAGGCAAAAAATATTGATAATAAAAGGAAATTGTCGCACAAAGTTTAACAATATGATAACCAATTATTAGGATTTTTCAATAGAATATACAGTAGGATGCAAATCTAATCCTAATACTTCTGCATTTAGTCGTTTGGGATGCCATTTCAGCAATACGAGTACCCTAATACAAGCATAAACCAAGATCAACACACCAGATCCAATAGGTATTAACCAGAATATTGGATTAAGTGTATATTTTGTTACAAATGCAACATTAAACGGCGGAATATATACAATACACATGGCAAATGCCGCACCAAGAACTACTCCAATAAAATTACGATGGTTTGAGAACATAAATCTGCCAAATGGAAACCGATGTCGCGATTTGCAGGCGAATAGATTGAACATTTGTTGAATCATAATTGATAAATATACAATAGATTGTGCTTCAGCAGCTGCTCTCAGTTGTATCTCCTTAGTTATCTCATCACCATGAACGTTTATGTAAGATTCTGCATCTTGAGTGAAATAACCTTTTTCAGTTACTGAATTTTGCATCTGACGTGCATCATATGGGGTAATACCATTATGATTCAATACCGCGAAATATGCAACTATTGCGCCGATAGTTTCTATCATGCCAACTTCTAAATATGCCCAGCAGAGAAGTTTTCCGTCAACTAATACTTCCTCATCATTGTTTTCAAGTAATTCCGACCACCATCTTGCCGTAAAAGGCTTCTTTAGTGAATGCAAAAACAATGAGAATCTTGAAGGTGTTATAGGTCGACCCGTTTCCTGATCGGTGATGGTTGGCGTACGATCAAGAGCAATGCGACGTACACGTTCTATTGACTTTGGAGTAACGGGCTTTCTTGGACGTACTTTCATAAGATCTTTTTTGCTCTCTGGTTGATCCCATGCATATGTCAGAACTATAAATAATTCATATCCTAAATCTGTTATCAAGATGAGGATTGGCGACAACGGTAATGGGATAGGTACGACAATATATAACAATGAAACCATGACTTCAGGAGTGATATGAGTGAGCGTGTATTGAATGGACTTTTTAAGATTCGTAAAAATGAGGCGACCTTCTTCAATACCCTTTACTGTAGATGCAAAGTTATCATCAATTAAGATCATAGCTGCTGCCTCCTTAGAAACATCAGACCCGGATAGATTCATAGAAATTCCTAAATCTGCTTTCTTTAAAGCGGGTGAATCGTTTACACCATCTCCAGTTACACCGACGATATGACCCATCGATTGCGCACGTTTGACGATTTCAAGTTTATGTCGAGGAGATGTACGTGCAAAAATAATTTCTTCCTTTTGAAAAATATTATCCCAATCATTATCGCTCAATGAATCTATTTCTTCACCATGAATGACAATAGCGTTATACTCATTATCACGAATCGATTCAATAGGTCTACCAGATTTTTTAGCGACGAGTGATTTGGTATCTGATATGATTAAATTAATTTTGCGACCAATAGATTCAGCGGTTAAAGGATGATCGCCAGTAACCATAATTACTCGAATACCAGCCTTACGACAAGTTCCAATAGCTTCACGAACACCATGCTTTGGAGGATCTTCTAATGAACATAATCCAACAAAACAATAATCACCCAACGGATAATTTTTTTCTTCTTTTTCAAATTCAAAGTTTTCAGGATATTGATCACTTGGCAACAATAATTGTGCGAAAGCCAATACTCTATGTCCTTTTGAAGCCATAAACTCATATATTTCATCATATTTTTGTCTATGCTCATCAGTTAAAGGTATCGCCTTATTCCCTGATAATATTGTAGAGCAAAGTTTAAGTACTCGTTCAGGTGCTCCTTTAATATATAATGTCAACTCGCCCGAGACATGTTTCTTCTTATGAATAGTCAACGCCCATTTTGTTTCAGAATTGAAAGGAATTTCGAAAACTTTTGGATAACTCCTAATAATGTCATCATAATCATCTACATTTTGAGCGGCAAAACGAATTAACCCAGTTTCGGTAGCATCACCTAAAATTTCTCGTTCAGCAAATGGAATATCGTAACGATCAAACTTTGCTCGGGAGCATAATGATGCTATATGGATAATTTCCTGAATACCAGGCGCATTGGGATCGAAAGAAACATCATCGGATTGTACGTTTCGAAGTGGAGAATATATATTTAAGGAAGTCCAAATATAAGTAACGGTCATTTGATTTCGAGTTAAAGTCCCAGTTTTATCTGTAGCCAAAAGGGTAATCGCGCCTAGCGTTTCGACGGCTTGAAGATCCTTGACAAGAATATTTTGTGATGCCATTCTTTTTGCTGCTATAGTTAAAAGAATAGTAACAGTCGCTGGCAACCCTTGAGGAACCCATGCGACAAGTATAGCCATTGCGAAACTCACGTTAAGAGCGAAAACATTAACTATTTTAAAACTAATTCCAAAAAATATTATAGCACATAAGGTGGCAATCGTTGCTATGATTCTTACAAATCTATCAGTTTCTTGTGCTAAAGGTGATTCATTCCTTTCTTCACCGGCGGTAAGACCAGCAACTTGACCCAATATAGTCGCATCGCCAGTTCTAATTACGATGCCATAACCTTCACCTGACACAACCAATGTACTATTAAAGCAAAGGTTAGAAGCCTCCAATGGGTTCTTTTGAGTACTTGTTGCCTTTGTCCTTTCTTGTGGTTCTGATTCACCGGTAAGGGATGAATTATCTACTTTCATATCAGTTGCGCTGAATATAAATAGATCGGCAGGCACTTTATCTCCCATCTTTACAAAAACTACGTCACCGAGAACCAAGGTAGATGCTTGGATTTGCGAAAGCTGGCCTTCTCTAAGAACATAACAATTCTGCGGAATCATATTTAAAAATGATTCTAAAATTGCGGCTGACTTTTGCAGCTGATAAAATTCAATAAGTGCATTCAAAAAGGCCACGCCGAGTAGAATAGCTCCAAGGTAACTCTATAAAATACCGAAATTTAAATAAAAAATTGTTATGGATTACAAGTTGAAATTATTTTTAAGGTAATTAACATACATTGGATTGATTATTTTTTGGATCTATAGCAAGTACAATGTACGTTAAAATTCCCGCAACAATAAGTAATATATTGAATAAAGTACGTAAACAATCAAAGTATTTTAAGATGGGATGTCTCTTGCGAGGTGGCGTGAGAACATTTGGACCATTTTCTTCCAATAACTTTCTAGCTTGATCCGTACCCAGTCCCCGTGACTCTGCAGGTTTAGAAATATTGATATCAACGCGATATCGCTTGGCGATTTCTTCGGGTTTATATAAATGTTCATCCTATATTATAGAACATGAATAAATGATTTAAATCGATCGGGACATAAATTACGATATAAAAAAAAAGAAAAAATTAAGCCTAATAAAAATAAGATGATATTTACAATGTCTACATTTTCCTCGTTACTCTTCAAATCTTCCTTTTCTTTGACTTGATTTTGCTCTGCAGGAATCCGTCTTTCGCTCGGTAAAACCTTTTTAGCAGAGGTAGAAGCTTCTTCTGATATCTCAGTTTCGTGTTTGATATTTTCCGACATAATAAAATAAATAATTCAAAAAATTTTTTTTTGAACATTAAAATCTTTCAATGGATAATTTATAACCATTGCAAATCAAAAAAAAAAAAAAATGTCAAACAGCAATCAACGATTGACAAATTAGCCCGGTTTAACCGACACTAGAATAGATCTCCTTAATTTTAAATAATATTATTGTTCTCGCAATAAAAAATCGTTGATCAGATTCTTTAGAACTTTCTGCAGATCGCGTTCCAATCATCTTAAATTAATTTATACTTAATTGCTTAAATTTGTACTTTACTTGACATCAAATTTTTCGAGCCGTTAGAATTCGAAAATTTGGAGAATTTAGTAAATTGTAACGAAGTTCGAAACCTGTTGACGTTATTTCGGATTCGTCATTAAACGTTGGCGTCATTCCGCAGAATTTTTGATCGATGATCAAATATTCTATTACGAATTATGCATGCTATTGTATTCTTATTTTGAACGAATCGCGTATGCAGTTTAATGAAATGATATGCACGTCTTTGATAAGTAGAATTTTTGTGTCCAGTTATGTATTACAAATAAATAAAATTTTAGAATTATTAATCGTTTGAGCGGGTCTATTGGCACAGTCTTTATTTTTATGTTGATGATATCTAAAAATAGTAAATTTATTTTTAGAATTTTGATTTTTCTATAATGGTTATAGCATTAGAAAAACACGTTGAGCTTTATTTGAAATAATTGACCTTTAAATATTAATTACATTTTATATAAATAAATAAGGCAAAAATCGATGGGGGATCATTCTAAATTTGGTTTAGAAATTTACAATATCAGACTTAACAAATAAGGAAATATCCGTAACCTTACTATTTTTAATGTTTTATTGGGGTGTAGAATTGCACATTGAAACCCAAGTTCAAATTAGGTAATAACAAGTCCTGAGGGCTCCCAAGCCCGATTTTCGTCTAAAGTTAGAAAAAACATTTGGATTGGAAGCATCAATCCAATTTTTATACCATAAAAATACACATCACTGCTCTTTGGTCTTTTGAGTTAAATATTACCCAATTAGGAAAGTTATTTCAATTAAAATAGTATGTGCAGGAACAATATTAATAATAAATGAAAATTTAATGAATTATTAAAAATGAAATAAATAAAAAGATTCTGAAATCAAAGGTCAGAGTCAAATTTAGGTTAGGAGAAAATTTTCGGAACAAAAATTCCCTTTTTGTAAAGTGAACCTCACAACAAATACTATTTTATTAAATTTTTTTTTTTTACCAAAGTACACTTCTAAAAGTATTGAGAAACGGGTTGTAGATCTCCTGGAAGGCCTCCCGCTTATTAAAAAATTGTTAAAATCGTTCTAAACTGCTCTAAAAATGCTCGATTAATTTTTAGTGAGATTTTTAACGAGGAATTGTGTGTAACAGTGAAAATGAAGTGAAGGTTTTTCGAAAAGAAATCGTGAATAAATAGGTGAATTGACTTATGAGAGCAGCTAGAATGCAGTGAAATTCTCCTTATTCACATTAATAGTACCCTTGTTGCGCTTCCTTTTTCTCCAAATGAAAAAGTTAATTTTTAGGTGAATGACGATCCAATTAGAAAAAGTGAGGTGACCGTTTCTCCAGAATAACGAATGTGTTAGGTTGGTTCGAGCATATAGTAATCCTACATAATAAAACAAAAAAATGTTCAAGAAACTATTTCAATAAATTATCTCAAGAATGACAAATAAAATGTACGTCTGGTCGTATAAAAAAAATCTTTACTTTCTGTTGGTCTTCACATGTGACGAACAATTTAGATGCAGTAACACAAACAATATGTTAATCATCTTTTTTGTTTTGTAAAAAAAAAAAAACAAATCATATTCGATAACGAACGTTACTTCACGTCATGCATCAAATAAAAACTAAATGTATGATACTATCAGCATTTGACAAAAGTCAAACAACTCCTATTATAATGATAATAATTTTTAATTTTCATATATATATTGTACTTTACATAATTTTTACCATTTTTTCAGTTATTTAATCAAGGTTAAATATATGATAACTTTTTGTAAAAGTTTGGAATCTGTAAAAAAAATTAATAGAATCGATGCTGAATGGCTCTTGCAATTTCACAAAAGTCTAGATAAAGTTCCGGACTTAACAACGGGTCCCCGTTCCCTAGTTTTATTATCACTATTTAAATTTTTTATTAATTTTTGTTTTTGTTGTTTTTTTTACATCCTTCTCTCATAAAATAATGATTTTTAGAAAAAAAATGGCAATACATACCGGAAGTCTCATTCGTGTATTATTTGTGTTATTGATTGTATTTTTCTCAATATACTTTTTATCTTCCCCTCTCACCAGTATAGACAATGAATCAACTTTTGATAAAGTTTATTCATCATTAGATCTACTTGAAGCGAGTCGTAGACGTCATCAAGAATTAGAAACCGCCTTAGTAGAAACTCGTATAGAAATAACCGATAAGCTTAATGAATTCTCTTTTCATTCTTCAATTCCAGGTTCAAATATTAAAACAAGTGAAGACTTGTTAAAATTTAGGAGTTATATGGAATGCGTTACAACAAAAGGGAAATGGGTTTATGATGATACACCGAGAGCTTTCCTCATACATAAACTTGAACCCCTTTATGGAAAATGTGATAGTAATTTTATTCCTTTAAATAAGAATTCTTCGATCGAAGAGTTATGGAGTAATGCTAGAAATTCAATAAAATATAAATGGAAAACCCCCAACGAATGCCCTTTACCAAGTTTCAATAGAAAGGATT